GTTTAGCTTGGCTGCTGTTGAGGCTGTGACTGGCTGAATCCGTGACACAGTCAGTCTAATGAAAGGAAGCGACTTAGAAAGAGCCAGGGAGAGAAATCCTGATCCGTGCTCCCTTCACTTATCTTTTTATTGTCTGTTTTTGCTCCATTTCTGTTCTCCCTCTCTCCCTCGCCTTTGTAACAGATACCTTTTGAATATACTGTGAGCACCGGGGGAATTGGCATCTGTGAGGCCGTTTTAATTTGACTGTTGTGCTCTGAGTGATCCAGGTTAACATAATAATCGAAGCCAGCTCAGCCTCTTATTTTAAACTGCGTGTGAAACATGCTGTGAATGGAGCCTTTTTAAAGTGGACAGTGCTGCTCTTTGAGTACAGTGACGAAGTGCACTTCTATAACTGTACCACATGCAGGGGCTGTCTGATACGCCTGTATCTGGGTATACTAGGCTTGGTGACTCAGCAGCACATACCATGAGGCTGCATAAAGCATACAGCCGTCAGTGTGTCACTTTGCCTTTAGACCTCTGGAGACAACGTCGGAGAACAATGAGCAGTCCTGCTTTATGGTGGCGCTGGATTTTTGTAAGATTTACTTAGTGTAACTTGACTTGTCAGGTATTTAATTCAGTGTATTTGGGAAGAAAAATGATTCTTGTCGGGTTATTTTATCCAGAAACAATTTCCCAGGTGATTGTCCAGAAAATTTCCTTCAGTTGCCAGTTTATTAGATCAGCTCCTGAGAAATCTAACTTTTAACGAAGGTTCCATTTGTTTTTGTTTGGCTGTTGTTAATTTAACCTTCTGATCATTTTGCAGAACGTAGTTTATGATAGTGTTGATCTGATTTGCATTATACTGACAGTCCATCTGATTTAGACGTAGCAGCGCAGGTAGGCCCAGTAGTAGAAACCCTCATTATGACCTTCATGACAGTGCGATTTGGACAGTTTATAACTGAAGTATGCCTCTGAATCAGACTGTAACGCTGGGTTGGAGCAGCAGATGTCCCCGGGGTGTAAACAGGGCTTAGTCGGGTGTCCAGTAGGCAGTGTGTGAGTGGAGGAATGAACACCAACAGGAGGATCAGTGAGCGCTTTGAGAGGCTGTCGGGATGTGACGAGGCGCCAGAGAGTGAAGTGAGGCACAAATAACGGAAGGGAAAGGAAAGCAGAATGCCAGCGCAATCAGGTGGGACGTGGAGATAGGCAGAGGGAGGGGCGGGGAGGAGACGTGTTGGTTAGATGTAACCTGAGCGATCATGGCGGGGAGAGATCAAAGCAGGGCCCAGGTGGGACCCGGGAAGAGACGGGCGCAGGGGGTGAAGGGTCACACCGAATGAGGAAAAAGGCCTGATTCCTTTTCCTGTTCACTGCAGAGGAATGTTCTCTGTGGGGTGGGACGTGTCCCTGCTGCCTCCTGCAGCCGCTCCTCAGGGGCCAAACCGGCATCTGTGTGAACACTGGGCCCCTTTGTGTTGCTGGATGAGGTGTAACAGTTGGCGTTTTACCTACCCCCTCCTCACTTTGTTGACACTTAGAGTGAGAAAGGTGGCAGGCAGGTTGATTTGCATGTTTCATAATGAGAAACAGTACAGCAGGCGGGAGCAGGCGGGAGCAGGCGGGAGCAGGCGGGAGCAGGTCAGCATCCGCTGGTCTCCAGCCCTGCTGCGACTGTTTCACATGTGGCCTGTTACCTGGAGCACCACTCGATACGCTCAGCGGGTACCTGAACAGAAACAGAGCTTGACTATGGACCGAGTTGGATCACTGCAGCTTGTCTAATCAGTCAACATCCAGGTTCTGGGACAGGGTATTGTTGAAAGTTCTCAATACTAGTACTGCTACCATGCCTGAGGTTTGGTCACTGTAAGCAGCCGTCCACGAACTCGGCCTCAAAATGCCGGCTGAGATCCTGATTTAATACAGGAACTTGCCAACTGTCTTTACTCGGTGCCGTGGATGCATTTCAGTCTCCTCTGTGTCCACTGTCGATTCTGCTTGTGAGTGTGCGCCTGTTTTTCATTATTTTCTGGAGTCCCAGGCAGATTTTATGACACTGCACAGGTCGCAAGATGATTAACAGGCTAGAAGGGCAGAAATAAACATCTACAAAGTTATGTTTCAGGCTGTTCCCTAATCTTTTCCTTTTTCATGAGACGTATTTTATAATGTAGCTTTTGAAAGTGATTCCAATAAGATGACGATGTGGTTCAGCCTGTGGACGCGTGACCTGTGACAAGGGATCACAATATTTTTATAAACAATCAAAAAGTGAATCAGCCGGAAAGACAACGAGCTGACGGTGATGTTGTTGTAGTACAGATACTGGCCCCCGATCACCAGCAAAGTTATCATGTCCTAAACTTGTGTATAGGGACGGTGACTTGCTTCAGCGTTCATGTAGGCCCAGTACAGACCCTGGAAGTCCAGGCTGGGTCGTACCCAGTCAGGCAACCGCAGAGAAAAGCAGGCAGGCAGACAGATGGTGTGACTCAGAGCTGCAGCATTCCTCCTCCTTTAGCCGGGCTCTCAAATCCCCCCTGACAGCCGTAGCGTGCGGAGGGGAAAAGACATATTTCGGGTGGGGGTGGGGCGGCACGGGGCAAAGGCATAACAGAGGAGGAGGAGGAGATGAGGGGAGGACTTGGGATATGCTGCAAGCTGTGTAACTGATCGCTGGAAGTGATTTGGCTAAAAACAACACGTCATTACAGGCGCTTGCAGGGGCAAAGCAAACAGCTCGTATTTTAGGAGGCCGAGAGAGGAGGACGGCTCGGGCAGCAGGACACCCCCAGCGTGCGAGGTGTGGTGTCATCCATCAGAGTCCAGTGTATCCGTCAACCGCACTGTCCTGACGAGGCGGCCCGGCCCGTCTTCAAAACCAGACCCTGACTCCCAGCAGCTGGTCAGAAGATGGAGCGTGAAATCAGCCCCCACCCTCTGGATCCACATCCCCATAGTAACTGATTTACACGGTGTAGATACAGACCTTTCATCGCCCCCCTCAACAGGCCTCTGTTGCCGGACGGAGTGCAGCCAGGTCCTCCAGGTTTGGCCGTCAGCCTCCGCCTTTGTCACGCCGTTGTTTTGACATGGCTCTGGTTTTTGCGGCTTGGCCGCTCTGCTGTTTACCCCTCCAGCTATTAGCAGTCTGTAACTCAGACTCATTGTCAGTGTCCAACACCTGCATCAGCACAGATGAATATTACATGAACTCTCTTTTTTTTGTCCAGCACTCTGACAGAGAGTGGTCTGGCTCTGGCGTGGGGGGTTTCCCCATCAGATGTCTGGTGTCAGAGCTCCTCCTAGTGGTGTGTTGTTATGCAGTTAACAGTGAGTTTCTCCCCATGTAGATCACATTATGTGGACAGCCAGCCATTCCAGCCATATGTACTGGCTGAGTGCGAGTCCAACGCCATGTGCTGCTCTAAGAGCCTCTTCTCCTCTGGTTTCAGTCTTCACATCAGATGTCGAACCTGCCTCAGAGATATGCTCCCATGCATGCACAAGAGCCTTAATGAGGCCCAACACTGTTTCAGTTCATCTCCAAGATGTTTGGGGGTGCAAGTCAGGGCTCTGTGCAGCTCAGCCAGGTTCTTCCCCACCAAAGTAGAAAGCTACCATTTGTTTGCAGAGTTGGCTTTATGCATGGGGACAGTGTCAGGGTGAAACGGGAAAACAGACAGACGCAAAGCTGGAGGAGCACCGACCTCAACACAAGTACAGGACGGTGTGTTGAGAAGGGTCTGTGATACCGTCCTCAGTTGTGTTACTCCATTACTGTAGCCATTCAGATACAGCACGATAAAAGTTCAAGCAAATGCTATTGTCAGGTTGAAATCAGCCCAGCTGAGAAGCTATGGGAAGTGCTGGAGCGACATGTTAGGCAGCGTCTCCACCACGGTCATCAAAACACCACGAGGCCCAGCACCTCACTGAGACTCTCTGTGTTGGGTCGTCCTTTCACTTGTCACCTGTCTGTAGATGATGTTTCTGTCTTGCTGTATCAGGTTGTACATTTTCCTCTCTCTCTCTTCTTTTGGCCTCCCAGCACATCGGACCCCTTTGGCCCAGCGGCTCAGATGTCAGCAGACCAACAAGTCAGCGCCTACGGCTTCCGCCCCGATGAACACTTCTTCTACAACTACACCAGTGGCTCCCGGTAAACCTGCGCCTTCTTACACGTACAGTAAGCACTGTCCAGTCACTGCTCCCAGTGCAGTCATGTCCCAGATATCATGTGTGCTACGGGAGCCAGGTCTAGACGCTGGGGGAATGTTATCAACACAGCCTTTTCTGTGTTCATCTGTGCACTTCGTCCTCACTGTAAAGAACTGTCACCATCAGTTAGCCTGACTTAAACAACTCGAAATGTTTAATTTGAGGTTTCCAGAATCAGGCTGAATTTTACTGATGTTAAATCACCAAAATGAATCTGTTACCTGAACCTACTGACACAGCAGTGTTCGGTTTCAAGAAGAGCAAATCTTTAGGACTCAAAATGAAAGTGCATAACTTATTCATTCAGATTAATGTCTGGAGTCCTGCAGGCTTGAAACCGTATATATCGATGTCAGTCTTGGAAACCATTTTAGTTTGAATCAGAAGAATTTGTAAATAACATTTTAATGCTGGCTCTCCTGTGTAACGAGATTTAATAGTTTCCTGTTTCACTCGGCAGCTGTTGATTTAACACTGAACTGCACTCGGATATTTCTGATTTTCATTTTGCTCAAGTGAACCTTTTTTTTTTTTACCACAGTTTGTCTGTGATGGCTTACTAACATTATTTTGGGCAAGAGAAAACTGAAAAAGTGTGTGTTTTGTAAAACCAGTCTGGTGGTGTTCCCTGTTTTTCTTACTGTCAACAAATCCCATGTGCAGAGCCAAACCAACAGTTTCTGACCTCCTCAGTCTGTGGCTCTCAGCTCCAAGGCCCTCGTTTACTACTGAAGGTGTAAACCATTAAAAACTTCTCACAAATAGCTGCTCGCTGTGGGGACTATTTTCAGTGGTGGATGAATCCACACTTGGTCTCCAGTGAGTATCGGTGGCAGCAGGACGGTGTGTGTGGGACTGAATCAGAGTAAAGACCAGTGTGTGTTCATGGTGATGGAGGAACATGTCAGCCAGTGCAGCAGTGTGGTCACTAATGGGTTTACTGGTTCCTGGACACAGTGGAGCTCTGCGGCCCAGGAGGAGGAGGGACCCCAGGCTGTTGCTGTTGGTCTGGCTCTCCATATGTGATTTGTTAACAAAAACAAAATTTGCCACATGTATCCTTTAATGATAGCGGAAGCTTCTGTAAGCCAGATCTTGGTCACTGGCTGAAGTAGGTTTGAACTGTTGGTGTGTGTGGCCCTTATTTCCAATGAGAAAAGAGTTTGTCCTTTTAATTGTTTTGTGACCTCTGGGGGTCTCTGTCCTCATACTGGGAGCTACTGAGTTATGCATTAGATTTATAGGTTCAATTACACAATTGTGCATTAGGATATTTAGGTAATACTTCATTTTATAGGTTCTGGGACAACTGCTAAAAAATAACTGTCATTGTGTAATTTGGTACTTATCATAGGTAAAATACCATCGACTGTTAGCAAACTTTCAGTGTAACTAAAATTGATTGCTAGTAGAAAGCAGGCACCTCAGCATGTGGAGAGAAGTTTCCAGTAATAAACAGATTTACTTGTGTTTAACTGAAGCCTTCTCTTCAAGAAAATGACTCTGGAAACCAGCAGTTTATTATACACTCTAATAACAGCCTCACAACCTCGTCTCCATTTTCTGTAGAGGTAAAACCAATTTATAGTTTTGTCCAGGAAATGCTTTAGAACAGGCTTTTTCAAAGTGTGAGGCGCGCCAGAGTACATCAGGGGAGGCGCGAAACATTTTTGTAAAGGAGAAGAAAAGAAAGCTAAATTGCCGCTTGCACGGTTTTGGCTGTCTGTGGCGAGCGAGTTCCCACACCTCTCCAGTAAAGCTGTCAAAGTGCTCATTCCCTTCACCTCCACCTACGGTGAGTGCGGATTTTCTGCACTGACCATGATTAAAAGCAAGCACTGCTCAAGGCTACAGGTAGAGGATGATTTACGTTTGTTCCTCTCTTCAGCGCATCCCCGTATCAGCCGCCTATGCGCATCAAAGACACAAACTCATTGTTCCCACTGAAATAGAGGTGAGCTTCCCCACTAACTTTCATGCAAATGTTAATGTGTTAAATGTGTTGAAATGTTAAAAGGTGTTAAACATGTTCATAAAATTGCAGCAACTCCTGCTAAAAGTTTATACGTAATTTAAGTATAATTTAAGTTCATACATAATAAAACAAATTCGTAGCAATACTGGCTGTGGTTTTTATTTTATTTATTTATTTGGGGGGGGGGGGGAAAATATTTAGATAATTAAGGGCCAAAATGTAAAAAGTTACCACTAATGTTTTTGCACATACGTGAAAACACTGTAAAGCATAAGCTGTGGCTAAAGATCATTTTCCTTATTTTATGTAAATGTAATTTAAGTTGAAATGTAAACAGCCACAGTTTTAAATAAGGAGGTCACCGCATCTGCTGGACTGTTTAAAATTCCTGGTCTTGTCCCTGACGTGCCTGAGCGCTGCCGTCCTGCTGGAATATGAAACACCTCTGTGGTAACGTATCAAATTAAAGGGAGGGGTCTTGCTGTTGTAGTCCAGGTGTATTTCGTGTCTAATCTGTCACAGCTGTAGGATCGGCAGGGCGTTCATACTGTATCGCTCAGTGCAGTGTATCTGTTACTGGTTAAAAGTTGTTGTGGACCATAAATAAATCATCAAAGCAACATGTTGTATTTGTTTTATTGGCAAGTAAAACCATCTGTTATTAGCGAGGCCACAGAAAGTTCACACAAATAGTTTGAGGGGATGTTCCTTTATAGATGCTTTATTAATCTTTCCACACCGTTTCTGTTGACCTTCATGAAGCTGGAGGACAGTGTATGGTCAGATGTTCAGCTGTGTACTCGTACTGTGAGCTGGTACAAGATGCTCTGTACAGGTGGAAGACACTTGGTGGAGCTGATGCACTTGAAGCACAGGTGATGAGACCCGTCTCTACAGTGACCGCATCCACATGAGGCAGCTGGTTTCCCTCATCTGAAGCAACATGAAGGTACTGGAAAGGCACTTTGAGCTACTGCTTCGCTTTCCTGTTAGGTCCAAATCCTACACTGGGTCAAAAGGTTAAGGGAGAAATAATGTGCCTGATATAAAGCTCTAATGTGGTTTAATATAGTCACAGACGTCACAGTGATTTTTTTTTAAATAATCAAACACTGGTTTTAAAATTGCAATACCACTGGGGACGCATTAGTTCTACCACTCGATCTGCTTTGTTTCTGAGCGAGACAGTGGACACAGCTGGAATCAGGATGTGGTTAGCCCAACTTAGCATAAACAGGGGAAACTGTTAGCGTGGGTCAGCAGGACTTAACAGTTGTCTATAATTAAATAGTTTTAAATCCAGGACTTTTCAAACTATTTGAGAACATCTGTTTTTAAAAACCCAATTCCAGCCAGTGTGATGAATGAAACAGATCTGCTGGTTTTATACACCGGACACAGCTGCTGGAATGATACTGATTTGGATCAATGTAACGTGATGCATACGGGTTAAAATTCATGGAAGCTTGTGTGAATGTTTCTCAGGAGTCTTTTCCTGTTTCCACTCAGACAAAAAGTGACTTGTTTTAGCACAATCATTGTGCGAATGAGTCGTTCCCTGCAGCAAACTGACAGTCCATGTCTTGCTGAAGAACACTTAGTCCACATCCTTTAATGCTGCTGTGATTGGTCATTCTTCTTGTGGATCCTCACTGGGGTGACGCTGCGCCGGCTCCTTCACCTCGATCACCTCCGTCACCAGGTCACGGATCTCCTTGACGCAGTCCAGAGGCTGGGCCGCGGCACTGGTGGGCTCAGAAGACAGATTGGTCGTAGTGTCGATGGCCTCAGCACTGACACTTGCTCCTTCTTTGACGCCTCCGCTCAGAGCCTCCATCTGGGCCTGAGGTGACAACTCGCTCACAGGTGATTTACTAATGTTGGCGTCATACTCCAACATGTCAAAGGCTGTCGAGACTTCGTCCTCGCTGCTCTGTGTCGCTGTCACTTCCTCCATGGACTCAACATCTGAGGGCGGAGACTCGCTTCCTAGTGACACATCCAGAGAGTTAGGATCTGAGGCAGTAAGTGGCTCTGCTTCCTCTCCCTTCGTGTCCAGGCTGATGTCTCCAGGTGTGCTGACAGGGGCTTCACCACTAGAGGGTGCCTCTAACTCGACTACTGAGCTCTCACACCTTCTCCCTGCTTCATTG